ATCAGGAACCGATTGTGAAACAAATAGGCAGAAAGAAATGGAGATGGATTGGCCATACGCTGAGGAAACCATCAAGTGACATCACTAGACAAGCCCTCGAGTGGAACCCGAAAGGGAGGCGGCGAGTTGGTCGTCCAAGGGTGACTTGGAGGAGGTCATGCGAGGAGGAGATGAAAGCATGTGGACAGACCTGGAGCAGGGTGAAAAAGTTGTCAGAAAACCGAAGTCAATGGAGGTGCGCAGCTGAAGCCCTATGTTCCTCTAGGAACTAAAGGATACAATAATAATAATAATACCAGGTGTGAAATCCTAGGACTAGAAACATTATGGTTATGACGACTGAGACTCAATCTGGTACTCTTTTATAAGCTCCTTAACCACATAGTGTATACCCCTGCTAATGGTACTCGGTTCTAAGAAGACACTGGATGTAACCTTAGACACACTAAAGGTACAGTGGCTGTAGAACCATATAAAACAGCCACCAGGCAAAGTTTTACTTGATTAGGTATGCCCAAATATGGAACAAACTACCTGAGAAAATGCGACTAGCAAGCACATTGGCCTCCTTTGGGAAGGCGCTTAATGACACACTAAGTGAGTTTGTAATTGATACCAGTGCTAATTCCCATGTAGGAGTTTCAGAAATCATAGGCCCATTTAATGTATGAACTCAGAGACTACACCTATTGTTTGTTTTGTCTCTATTTATAATTCCAGACAAAAAAGTAGCAGTCATGACAATGACACCCTATCAATTAAGAGTCGATCGAACTATGTCTACCTGATACAAAGGGCGAACCATAACAAACATACGAATGAAATATGAGAAAACAAGGTCGGAACTTACCGCAACACCACATGAAAAGATAAAAGTCACTTGAACATCATTTACAATCCACCAACTGGTCTCCTTCACAAAAAGAATGCGGCGATGTTTTATCCGAAATGGCGAGGAAATACATAAATCCACAGCTGCTGCTGTTAACACTCAGTGGGGGTAGGAGCCAACAAAGTAATCCTTTCAAAGCATATGTATACTTCAAATGGGCACGGAGACTCTGTAGAATAAGTTATAATCCAAATCACTGCCTATACAGCGCCAATAAACCTGGATATAAATAAATTTATTCTCATGATACAGTACATGAGGGACGCCAGTTTACAGGCATTATCAAATTGTTACAGAAATAGGATCATATTATTCAGTCACAATTTACAGTCGATAGCAAAATGTGTTTAACATGTACACTGGAGATTATACATACACTTGATAAATGTTAATCCCAATAGTATAATACATCCTTTTCACTTATGTACGATCATTTCTGTGCATAGTTGGAAAAATCCGCTATATTGTCAGTGAGTGCAACACATCAGGAAATACAGAAGTATTGTCTTCGCATTAACAAAAAAACCAGGTCTTTGGTGGATGGGTTATAAGTGCCTGGGAAGAAAAATAAAGCTTGAAGTCAGTTTTCGTACAATACTTTGTTGTGTGCAGAGTCCTTGAATTATAGTTCATTGATGTGTTATTTTGAAATCAGTGACATGTTTATCTCATTTGATCTGCAATGTCATTGTTGGGAGTAAAATACATAAGCTTTAGACGCATTAATTAATGGATTTCTACTGCTTGTGGGTATTTACTTCTCGTGAGGAAGGTTTTTGAATTTTAGTTGTTACGACATGAGTTGTGGACATTGACTGCTCAGCAACATTACGGATATAAGTTCATCACCTTATCTCAGGAATGTTGGGTTGTAGTTGGTGAGGCATATATGATGTCTGACGAGCGTACATCTGTCCATGTGATGTTGTGGTGAGTTGTATCTTTTTCACGTTGTCGGTTTATGTCCATTTTATTCCACTTATTGTGTTGGGTAGAAGTTTTACAAACGAAACTTCTTGTCTTTTTTAGGGTCAGTATCTTAATCGTTAATGTTTTATCTAAAATTATAAATATAGGCAAAAACAACAGGTGTAGTATTTGAGCTTATACATTAAATGGACCTATAATTTCGGAGGCTCTCAAATAGGAACTAGGACTACTGTCGTTTGCAAACTCGTGTAGTTTGTCGTTAAGCACTTTTTTGAATGAGGCCAATGTACCTACTTGACGCATTTCCATTGGTAGTTTATTCCATATCTGTGCATACCTAATCAAATAAAACTTTTGCCTGGTAGCTGTTTTACATTGTTCGATAGCTACTGTACCCTTAGTGTGTCTTAGTTTGTAGCCACTGTCATCTGAAAGTCGAATGCCTTTAGCAGAGGTAAAAACTAAGTGGTTTAGAAGCTTATAGTAAAGTGTTAAGTTTAGTCTCAGGCGTCTTAGCCATAGTGTTTCTAATCCTAGGGTGTCACATCTAGTGGAGTAGTTCGCACCATTTTCGGTTCCGAGTAATTTTGACGTGAAGTACCTCTGCACTCCCTCGACTTTCAATTTGTCCTCAATGCGTATACTACTATACATGAATGAACAGTAATCAAATAAAGGACGCACACAAACCTTGTACAACAGAATTCTGGACTCATTTCTGTAAAAGTTCCTGAGTAGAAAGCCGATAAGTCTGCGTGATTTTGACACTTGTTTGGAGATATGTTCAGAAAATGATAAGTCATGTGAGTATTTCAGTCCTAGGTCCAATACAAATTACAGTCGTAAAAGTGCATGGCCTTGAATTGTCAGGTCAAGGTCTAAATTGTTGCAACCTATGCAGAGCCAGCCACATTTGTCGACATTAAACTGGAGTTGCCAGGTGTCACACCATCTGTCCATTTTTTAATGGATATCTATGATATAACGAAAACATGCTGAAAGCTGCATCTCAGATCAAGTTGATTAATTCGATGGTAATGATCTCCTCCTGCATGCCTTATTCGACATCTTGAATGGAATGGTTCGCGGTTACTCTGGTACCATATCGAAAAGAATATAAAATTCACCGGTTGATGAATCAAAAGTACTTCTCTGCATGTTCAACTGTATTCTAACTGCTATGATTAATTCCAAACCATTTATCTCATAATCACTCAAATTCCATGAACGATCCAATTCTACCATTTGAAGACGCTGGCGAACATGCTGTAAATGAGTATTCATGATCTGAAATGAAGAAGCAACTGGTTTTCAAACAGTTTTTCAACATTTTACTCAACTTACGAGTACAATCCGCCATGCAGACACATACGGCGCAAATGGAGAATTCTGGAATCGACCTCGGCACCATTTGATGCAGTAAAACAACCCAACATGACCTTATCTAATTTTCGCCTCCACGATCAAATTTCTTTCCTGTTATGAAACTACGATAAGACTACTAAAAAAATGGAATAAATATATCACTGATCTCAACATAATACATCAATAATCTTTAAGCCAAGGGTGCTGTTCACAACAAAGTTATATAGGAGAAATGACTTGTCAATCACGTCTCATAAACCGTTAATGCCTAGCTCTCGCTACGCTCGGGCCCACGCTGTTCTTCGAAGATTTCAGAAACGCTTAGTTATAACGGACGAAAAAACCAAAACACCGATCTGCCGTTTGATATTTCTTTATTGTTACACCAACATATAAAAAGAATAAGCGAACTAAGGTCTGTAAACAAATATTACAATAATAAATCATTGTATTACTTCTGACGATGTTTCACTCTTCTTTCTGAACAGCGACCGATGAGACGATGACTGTCGTATTGATGCCTCCGCGAAAATTGGGGAAGTTGGTTTTGAGCAAACAACCAAGAATTGATCGTTCAATCTTCAACTCCATTGACATGACTTCAAGCTTTATTTTTCCCATATATCTGTGTTACATTCATGTGATGTCTGGGTTTTTTGGTAATGCGAAGACAATATTTCTATATCTCTTTATGTGCTACACAAACAGACTTTATAGGAAACTTTTCCGACTGACTCTATTGACAGAAAGAACAACCAAACTGAAAATCCATCATACATCAAATCATGTGCAATTTATATAACAACTTATCCATGCCTGTACAATAGGTATGTTCCTGCATAAACAAGAAGGAATATATTATTATTATTAAAACAATATTTATGCATGCCTATACAATTGGTGTACCCTACATAGCTAGGGAAAATAATGTACCTTATTGTATTATCTTTACTAAATATGCTTATTAATCTTATGTGTAACTTATCGAATTGATGATGCCTGTAAACTGGTGTCCCTCATGTAAAAAATGAGAATACATATTATTATTAATAATGCATTTATATATATATATGTTGCACTTATTTCATTACACCTTAATGATTCACCTTAGCAGGTAACTTTTCTAAAACAGCTTTCAGTCCCTTGAAAAAGTTGTTTTTACCTCAATATTGGTTGGTTGTTGTATGCTTACAACCACAGGATGAAAACGAAACGAAGTCGATGTTCCCGCGAAACCTCGAGGACAACTGTACAATTCAGTAAGTATACGGCCTGGTTCAGACAATGAGTGTAATTATGTATATATCAAATATTTAACTTTTAAAACATTATTAACTTGCAGACATTCTGCGATTTGAGATTATATCATACTTGATCGTGCCTGTAAAAATGGCATGCATTTTCATGTAAATTTATATGTTTATGTGAAAATATAAATCATTATTATTATGTAATAATATTTACAGCCATAGGGAAATAATATCTCCGGACTCATAATAGTCACTTTGTAAGTACAAAAATCTCCAATAAGCCCTCCTTATCCTGGGTCGTAAATGGAGTGATCAACTCCATGAAAAGCATATAACCATCCCAAAAAACCAAGTGGTGGGCAAAAGGTGATGTGTACCAGTTCATCATAAGCCTTTTGATATTTGGACTTAAAGCAGAAGTGAGAAGAGGAGACTTCTTCATACGCCATAGAAGTATAAATACACTTAAACTTCAAATATTAATATCAAAGGGTGATGGTTCAAACCACTAATTTTCTCATTAATATTGTTTGTTCGTGCTAATTTCATCTCTCGACCTTGAACAAAGGCGGCCTATACATTGAGAGCCCGAAAATGGGTGTATCTATGAGACAATGTGTCTTGGTATTTGGCATGCTTTTTACTGGGACTATCAACACAGTATCCAGAAAAGTTCAGCTTGATTGCATGTTAGTCCCTTCACATTCAAAAGTAATAGTCTAGACAGTGCTGTAGGATACTTTAATCATTCTGCAAATGATGCGCGTACTCCGCATAACTTCAATAAACCATGGTTTCAAACGCTACTGATGTTTTTCGGGGAGTCACTTTGTATATTGGCTTTTATGATAATGAGATGCAGGAAAAGGAGGCAAATGTTTTCACATGGTTATAGTGTTATTGGCCTTCACCCTAGAGGTCAAAGCCTAGTAAGAACACCGTGAGTTAATTAATTAAATTGCATTATTGTGCAGTATTTTTAACTGGATTTTTATATTACCGACGCTCTGTGATTTGTTGGGCTCAACACTATCAGGTATGTAAACCCTCTTATTCGTTCTATTTCTAGGTATCGGTCTTCTGTACATTGATGCATCCATTTGGCAAATGTTACGGGGATCGCTTATTGTATTTGCTGGAATTCTGTCAGTAGGTGGTCTTTTCTGCCTTTTTTAAAACTCCAATATGTTTATCTTTAGATTGTTCATAGTTATTCACAATTGTTCAATAGTTAGTTAACTGACATCATTCATATCCATCCAATGTTCATACGAAACTAGTGTTAAATACGTACAATCCTGTTGATATAGCCGCATGCTTTTATGTCCTTTGAGATCTTGATTGAAATCACAACTGAAGCTTTGCTGACATATAAAAGTTTGGACAGGTTAAATCCTATTGAAAGAACGAATCTAAAGATTCAAGTCTGAGTCCTCCTCTATAGGCTGACTTCTTTGTGATAATAAACCTTCTTGAAAGGAACTAACTGGTGGCTCAGGCTTGCAGAAACAAGCTATACCATATTCTGCACATATTGATCTATTATGTGAAATGGCTAGAAAGTACACCCTGTTTACATTTCTACCAAACTGCTCTCATTGATTCAACTGTAGCTGCCTTCAGGGGTCTGGTTCAGCTTATAACCTAGTCTTTTTATTAAATGTAAAAATTAAGAATTAGTTATTACATTCAAATAAGAAGTAAAAATATCCATTCTCGGTCATGTTTCCCATCAAATTACAAAATGAGGTAAACTAATAATGTCTAAACGTTATCAAGTTTGTGATAACCAGCTCCTAGCAAAGATGCCGTTTATTTCTTACGACTGATCAGTTTCAATGTGAGGAATCGATATGCTGAATAGAAGAAGCCAAACAGAAGAAAGAAACTACTGGTTGTCTAGTGGTCTTTACTCATTATCGACTAATTTTATATATTTTAGTTCAATAATGCATATTTGTACTACTTTAAATTTTCTCAGTTTCTATCGTAGTTTTTCAAAGCAGATACTCATTGATTGTCTACTAATCACGCATCAAACGATGTCATTTTAGGCTCAATGTAGCAGATGCATCCACTCCTCGTGACTTATGATTTCCAATGAAACTACATTGTTCTTCGTTATTACTATTTCTTTCTCACACCTCTGTGTACTGTCTCTATTATGCATTTCTTCTACCTTCTTCTCTTGCTTTGTGTGCTACATGAAGTGGAGTGTGGTGACGAACTGGTGCACATCGGTACAAAGTTCTGTGTCGAATACAGACAGACAGACATTTTAAGCTCATTAACTACTGGCCAATTAAAGTATTCTGCACATCAAATGCAGGCACTGTCTGATTGCGTGTACGTGTCTGCAAGTTTATGATTGTCACTGTACCTCTATACCTAATTATATCGAAAGTTTATAAAACCAGGAACTAACTTGGTTATCGGGAAGATAACACGGTTTCGCTTTTATTCTTCAGTTTATCATATCTTTTAGTTGGGTGAATAGAGTAAACTGGTTCAGCTTCTGATCCATCTGGTCCATCTTTCTCTTTTGTAAACTTAAGGGGCTACAGACGGAAATCTCTCAGTAGAAACTGTTGTTCAGCGCATATCATCCAGAACAAAAACAATCGATTTATTTTTTCACAAACTTTGCCATTAAAAGCCACTAAAGGAATTTGAGATATCTTCAAGATAACTCTGATTAGGTCTTATCCGTGTTATAAAGTAATGCTGAATACATTTGGCCTTGTTAAATGGTAATCCTAGATTTGTCCTTGTATCCAAATAAAAGTGTCACCTACAGCAGAAGAGGAAATCACATTTTGACTTTCTTCAGGACACGGATAATGATTTCGATTTTGGTGCATTTTAACGTCAAGGATTACGCATACCTCCATATTGATGTCGTGCATGATGGTTGGCGAGCGAATTGTATCTTGATTTATGGTAATCAGTAGCGTACAGGTATGAAAGAAACGCGTCGCTATGTTGCATCCTCTTTGTTGCACAATAATATGCCTTCAGGAATAATAATGACATACTTTGTAGTGCTCGAGAAATCTATGCATACACAGGAAAACTAAGGATACTGTTCATATTTACCAAAGAAGAGTATTTTTTTGTTTACTCCGGTAATTGTTTGATTAATTATGGGAAGCTGAACTAGCACACTTCTCGTTTACTTTTATCACAGCATAAATGGGAGGATTCATGTTCAGTAAATGTAAAGTATAATATGTAAAATTTGTGGATGGTACCTACGCATTGTGTAGTAATGTACATAGTCTCAGATGTATACTTGAAATCTGTGGTAGGCATTTTCTAGTGTTTTTTCCTTCACGTTCTCAGGGGAACATAAGGCCTCAAGCTATTGGCTTGAAGTTTCTGTAGCAGTGTTTAATTTTTACAGAATGGGGTTGCTAGCGTCATGCTCAACCTTTCCTCTTTACTGGCATTATTTCTGGCTAAGCGAGGTAAAGGAGTGCGTCTGTGGCCGGGGATCGAACCCCGGACGATGTACATGGTCGGCAAGCGTCCCAACCGCTGTGCCACCGACGCACACTTTCTAGTGTAAATTCAGTTATATATATATATATGGCCTACATCACTAGTGCTGTTTTTCGTAAACTACAGTTAATATCAACCGGTGTAACAAAATGGCTGTATGGAAGAAAACGAACTACTTAATCATCCTAAAGTACCCTAGCCAGCTAAGATTGACTGTCGGTCGACGAAAGCGATGGCTAGGCATGCATGCGTAACACATGTCCTAACCGTCTCAATTAATTCAACTTCACAACCTCATCGATTGATTCCCTCTCCCTTCTTACCTTACACTCGACCGAAGCCTTACTAATTCAATACCGCTCATCCTATTACGCTTACCATCTAACATGTGGGATAGAAGGCAGACTTCTATGATCAAAGACAGCTGGCCAACCAGGCTTTTCGTGTCTTCAATTTTCAATGGCCTTGTCTCGTTCACAGACATAAACGTGGACGTAGAGAACTGATTCTGGTCAGCAGACACGTCCACTGATCGATAGCCAGCCGGAAATCATGTCTACGAAGCTATAAGTGGCGTAAGTTGGCAGGTAAATCCGTGCTGAGATTTCGTCAGTGATCAACCCACTGGTGCTGGTTGATGGAACTTCCCAAATAAGTGAAGTGGTCAACACGCTCTACCAATTCAATCTTACCTATCTTTAAGCTTGGAGCAAGTCGATGTAGTCCAGTGCTGTAGCATAATCTTATATTTGATAGAATCAAATCGTTTGTCAAACATTTGAAGATCACTACTCCTCAAAGTGTTTTTGGAAGACTCAACTGCATTTTTTCCAGCGTCTTCGGAAGCAGGACCACATCATCCGCATATACTAAGCCAACGAAATTATTCTCTGGTAATAAGGCAATCGCTGAGTCGCTAAAGTCACATAGGGTTGAGTCCATTTCTACATCAATGATGAAATTGAATAGAAATGGGGATAGTGGGTATCCCTGACGGACACCACTAGTCCTCACCACTTCAGATAACAACTCTCCGTAGGCTCTGACCTTTTTGTACGAGTTCGAGTAGAGTACCTTGATCGGTGCGGTGGATTTTCTTGACATTCCCTTCACAGCCAAACATCGCCATAGTACCTCCCGGTCGACAGAATAGAATGCCGCTTCCAGGTTGAGAAATATAGTAACTGTTGGACGTCGGTAAGTATGCCTGTGTTCCAGAATCTGTCGAAGGGTGGAAATGTGATCGATATACCTCCTTCCTGGTCTATAGCCTGCCTGGTTCTCTCGTGTTTGTTCCTCTCGTGGACTGCTTAGTCTACGCATTATTATTGAGACTAGAACTTTAGATACCACATTGGTCCCCCTGTGATTATCACCGGAAGACTTGTTTTCCTTCTTGTTTACCGGGATTACCGATGGCTTACACCAGCCCCAACGGGATTATTTCTGCTTCTCAGACGCTGCCTAATACCTTAGTTAATGTAGACACTTAACTGAGTAGTACTCTGTTGCAGGTAACTTATTTCCCAAAATTTGTCTAACAATTTATGATTGCTTAAAGGTTCTTATGTTTTCCCTGTGTTCTTGTAGACTATATTTCTAAAGCGACGTTTACGTTACTTTCACTGGATTGGTATCATGATCACTGTGATTGGATTAGCTCTTGTCGGTTCAAAGTCAGTATTCAGTGTACATTCAGTGAAGTCAAGCATAACTCAATCAGCTATAGGTTAGCTAATTTTTCTTTTTTGGTCTTTATTTCATTACTAAAGTTACTTTATGCCATAACTGTTAGGCTGCAATACAAATTGAATCAACAATTATATCATTCATGGGAAATCCCCATTCGAACATTAACAGATAGAAGACTAGTATTAAAGGCAATATTTTCCCAGTTGTCCATAAATATATCTGCCACGATAGGGGATATTGATGATCTATCCCATCGCTAAACCATCTGTTTCTTAACATATTTTGCCCTGAAATTTAAAGACAGTAGACGTGAGGGTCTCGGGACTCTAGGAATCAATGGCTGGAGACAATAGGTGACATGGCTCAAAATCGTTGTCAATGGCCAGCGCAGATGTATTCAGTCTCTGTAATCTTTCATATTCCTTTCTACCATTACCCATTCTGTTTCACTCTTATACTTGTCAAACTCTATTGATCCTCTTCACTCATCTTCTTGTCTACCTTTGTGTGCTATTTGGAACGTGGCAACTCGAACTGGTGCACTTCGGTGCCAAGTTCTATGTTGAATCCAGACAGACAGACAGACGTGAGGCATAACTAAATTCCTAAAATAATTTTCTCAATGGTCCTCTTTGTTCTATGATTAACTTTGGGATCAGAAGTTAGTTCTCTTTTAACCTCTTCTAAGGCCATATTGATTGGTATGTTAGTGTACAGGCTAGTTTATCAGAACTGATCATTTTTTCATTATTCTTTATTTGGCATAGTATTAGAGCTAAGTGTTTTGATAATCCATATATCGACGTATTTCTGCAATCTACTATTGGTCGTATGGGGTAACCTGGCTTATGTATTTTTATAGTACCGTATATTCTACTGGTGTTACTAGCTTTAGGCATTAAATTAAAGCATTTAGACTCACCCTGTGACAGTTTCATACTACGTATTAAGTTCGCTGTAGATGTCAGGTTTCAGGTTGATGAAGGTGTGTCTTGCCTTTCCCATTCTGCCTGGCTTTGACATCTCCATCCGTTCCAGCTGCCTGTGGTTGAAACCGGGCTTCCTGGCTGGATAAGTGAAGGAAGTAACCTCTGTCAAATCTCCCCCTTTCATGCTAATTGGTGCTAGTTGTTGTTACTGTTGTTGATTGGTTGGTTATCTTCATCGCCTCTCTCTTCTCCATGTTTACCTGAAGTCCTGTCTTCATTGGCTGCTTCTTCAACCAACTTATTAGTCCTCGCTTGCAAGTCTTCGAGTTTGTGTGACATTAGACATAAATCATCTGTGGTCCAGTGTATTCCTGTCTCCTCGCTCCCCGTGCACAGTCTAACTCATAATCCAGCCCACCACAGTGAGGAATATCATCGTTGATAACAGATAGGGAGCTTTGTCTTACTCCTGTATTCACTTCAAACGCCTCACTGAGTTTTCCGTTCTTGATCACCTGACACGTGGCAGTGTCATATAACTGTTGGATGAAGTCAATAAAGACTCGAGATAAACCGTAGTGTTGAATCAGTTTCCAAATTACGTCGCAGTCAACATTGTCGAGTGCTTTTTCGAAGTTAATGAAGTTGAGGTAAAGAGACGTTTACTGCTATTCTATGCGCTGTTCTGTGATGACGACGCGCAGAGTTGCGATTTGATCAGCACATGATATACCTTTCCTGAATCTAGCTTGTTTCGAGTAGGCAGATTTCTCCATCCAGTGTCTTTTATTTTCTCCAGGACTATGTGACTTGGTATTTTACTTGTAAACAAGAACATTATTCCACGCCAGTTCTTGTAGGGGCGTAAGTCGCCCTTTCTTTGTAGCTTGACAAGGTAGCTATCCTTTCTTCCAAATCTTAGGCACTGTTCCTTCATTCCAAACCTTTTGCAATAATGTCGTGAGCACATCGACTGCAGTCTCTGGGTCCGCTTACAGTGCTTCGGGATGGGGGAATTCTCCTGGCGCTACTGCATTCCCAGCCGGCGTTCAATAGCTTAATCGCATTCAGAATTTCTGCTTTCCTTGGAGGACTGGTAGGCAGTTCTTTGCGCGCTGTTGGTGGTATTTTTGGGTGAGTTGCAGGTGATGGTCGATACAAGAGTCCTTTAAAGTGGTCAGTCCATCGTTCGATTTGTTTCTCCTTCTTGGTAATCTGGTTTCCTAGAGCATCTTTTATTGGTTTCATCACCTGCGTTGATCTCTTTCCGGAAAGAGACCTTGTTATTTGATATAATGTCCTTAGGTCTCTTTTACCTGCGGCTTGCCTGTTCTGCCTTAGTTGCAAGCCAGTGCGTCGTAGAATTTTCGTGTTCCTTTCCTAGCACTTATCCACTTCTTTATTCAGTGCAGTGTACATTGAACTTATCTTTTCCTTTCGTTGCTCATCTTTGCGTTGAGTCATCTTCCGGTTTAGTGATACCACATAGTGTCTTCAACTTTGCTCTGATCAGATCTGTACTGAAGGTATCCCTTGTAGTTTTGCTCTTCAGTTTATGAGTGTTAAATTTGAATTGTGGCCGGTCTCCAGTTGTTCTGGAGGATTTCAGCTTCACCTTGAAGGCTCCTTAAACTAAGTGATAGTTTTAACTAGTGCCTCCCTAAAAAGAATGATCCTTTCTTCTACTGGTTGATTCACACCTTCAGATTCTTCGGATCCTAGTCGCAAGAGATATCATGTTCCGGTGGTGACTGATGGATATTGTCTATTTATTGTTCCCTTGAGTCCCTGGTGGAACATAGGGCTTCAACTCCACGTCTCCACTTGCTTCTGTCTTCCTTCTGCTGTACTTTTCACCTGCATCCATGTTAGTCCATACTCTTTCAACTGCTCTTCACACGATCTCCATGTCATCCTTGGACGTCCCACTCGTCTCTTCCCTTTCGAGTTCCACTCGAGGGCCTGACGCGCGATTTCACCCAGCGACCTCCTCAGCGAGCGAGTGTCCATCTCCATCCATCTCCACTTTCTCCTGCATATTTGTTGGTTGGCGATTGGTTCTTGTTTCCTTTGTTCCCATAGTTTCTTGTTGGTGATTCCCTTCCGGCCCAGCCATCTGATCTTCAGTATAGAGCGAAGACAGTTGTCGATCAAGGTTTGCAATAGCCTGTTGGAAATATTCTCTGTGACCCGCCCGCCAAGTTTCTCATCCGTTCCGTATAGAAGAAGTGACTGACTTGACGTTTTTATTAAAAATCCGAATTTTGTTGTTGATGCTGAGTGACGACCGATGGATACCCAACCGTCAAAGTTTGTCAACTGGCCGTTCTACCTAGGCTTTTTATATACCTTAAATCATCTCGTCTAAAAACCGTCTTCCGCTCCTAATATGCGCATAAGTCTTAAACATTTAACTCGTTCTGTGAACAGTAGCTCGCTTTGTTGATTTGTTTTTAACAATGCCCTTTAAGATTTAATTAGACTGACGCTTCTCTCCCTTTTTTCTTTTGGTTGTTGTTTTATGTCTTCACCTCAAAAAGGACTTGTTCTCGTGTTGGCTGGTACATTCACATCAGCAGCACAAATGATTGTAGAAGAAGTCTTCTTAAAAAGTCGTGGTTTTCACCCTCTACAGGCTGTCGGTATGGAGGGTATTTTCGGTTGTATTTTAATGTGTGCAGTAAGTTGCCGCTTAAATATTTCTTTTGATAGCTGTATTTTATCATACTTTTTATACTACTTAAATTGTTGATTGTTATTGACATATATATATATATATATATATATATATATATATATATATATATATATATATATATACCAGTGTTGGTTTTTAAAGAGGTGTTATTCATTTCAAGTTTGATGATGAACTAACTTCGGGTAGAGCAGACCATTATGAACAAGGGGGTACTGGATAGTTCTGTCATATTTGTCTGGGGATTATCAATACTATACACCCATGACCTTATCTGGGATCGAACTCAGGACTTTCAGGTTTTAAGGTGAGCTCTGGCAAAATGCAGAGTTTTCTGAACACCTTGAGCGGCAGCAGCAGTCTTCGAATGGTTGGCATGTGATTCTCTGCGGTCAAATGTAAGATGATGCTACAGGACTGGACTAGCTCCTAGACTTGCTCCTAGCTTAGGGATAGGCAGGAGTGATTTGGTAGAGCTTGTTGACCACTTCACCTAATTGGAAAGTTGATCGCTGACGAAATCTCAAAACGGATACAGAAGGCTCGTTTGGCGTTTACCATGCCAGTTTACGCCGACCCTGGTTTAGTAGACGCGATATCTGGCTGGTTATCGACCAAAGGGCGTGTGTGCTGTAAAGCAGCAGTCCGCTCTGTCCTCCTATGTGGCTGTGAACGAGACAAGGCCATTGAGAGTGAAAGACATGAAAGAGAAGGCCAGCTATTTGTCTTCAATTATAAGTGCCTGTGTTCCATCTCCTGTGCTAGGTGGTATAATAGGGTGAGCAATATTGAGGTTAGGTTTCGGTCGAGTGAGTGCTAGGTAAGGAGTGAGAGGAAATCAACCGACGAGGCTGTGAAGTTTCATCGACTGAATGAGATGATTAGGAGATGTGTTACGCATGCATACCTAGTCATCGCCTTCGTCGACCGATAGTCAGTGTTAGCTGACATAGGATCAGGTTGGTTGGAAAAGAAGATGGCCAGTGGTGTTCAAACGAAAACGTGGCCTCATCAGTCAATCAAATCCACAACAGTTAGTTTAAACCAGTCAACCAGTCACGTAGAGGGGTTGAAGACTGGCTTCCTGGTTGGGGTTGCCGGGACGGTAAAAACTAATGGTGTCTGGAGACAATTGGCGATATGGCTAGCTCAAAATCTCTCTCAATGGATGGTACAGATGTATTAACTCCTTGTGATTATTTATCATGTCCAATAAAACTCTGTTGTTCTCCCACCATATTGCTATTCTTTTTCTCTTCTGTTCATCATCTAACCTGTCTTTCGAATCTGTCTTTCCTCTGCTATCTTACTCTGTGTGGTACACGGAGGGTGAGTGACAAGTCGAACTGATGCACATCTGTGCAAAGTTCTATGTTGAAACCAGCCAGACAGTCAGTTGTCCCATTTTGTCAGTCTACACCTCCTTATCTGTCCTAATTGAGTGGTGTGAGCAGCCTTCAGATAATAAGTGTAACTTATGGCCTAATGCATGAAGGATTTTTCAATCGGTACACTAAGTTCTCACTATCTAACTAACTAACCTGCCAACACCGTTGCTAACTCACATTATCTGATTCGATTGTTTAGTGATAGACAAAGGATCCCCTTCTATTCATCTATCTCATAAACTGTTTTATTTTTTTCATTGTCCTCTTTTATATATATATATATATATATATATATATAGATTGCCCTCCCAGCTGTTCATTATATTCCGGGGAATGATTTAAATGGATCCTATGAAAATGTTATTGATGCCATCTATCAAATTGGTAGTAATTATGTCCTATTAGGCAATTGTATATTATACGTCTTATCAATTGCATTCTTCAATTACTGTGGTCTATCGATTACACGAAGTCTTAGTTGTGAGTGTTATTATTGTGTTTTTCGTTTACTTTAGATAACTATTGTTTACATAACTTGCTAAAATTGTTATAATTTTCTATAGTTTGGTTTGTAAGGGTTAGTTATGTTTTTACGAGTCGATCACGGATTGATATCAGTTAGAGAACCATTCGTTCTATCTCCGTGTGAAGTGGTATAATAAGGTGAGCAATATTGAGGTTAGACGTCTACGAGGCTGTGAAATTACATCGACTGAGGTGGTTAGGACACGTGTCACGTATGCCTTTTCATCGCCTTCCTCGATTGTCAATGTTAGCTGATATAGGGTCAGGCTGGAAAAGAGCTAGCGGTGGTCAAACCAAAACATGGCACCAGTCAATGAAATCTACAACATTTAGTCTAATCCACGTAGTAAGGTGTAGACTGGATTCCTGTTTGGGGTCCTCGGGACGGTAAACACCAATGGTGGCTGGAGACAATTGGTGATATGGCTCAAAATCGTTCTCAATGGCTAGCGCAGATGCATCCACTCCTTGTGACTTATGATTTCCAATGAAACTACATTGTTCTTCGTTATTGCTATTCCTTTGTCTCACACCTCTGTTTCCTGTCTCTATTATGCATTTATTCTACCTTCTTCTTTTGCTTTGTGTGCTACAAGGAGTGGAGTGTGGCGACTTGAACTCCCGCACATATGTGCAAAGTTCTATGTTGAAAACAGACAGACAGAGAACCATTGAAAACCGACGAGGGAGTACTGTACAGCCGCTGTTTCATCCTAGTTTGGGATTCATCAGCAGTATGCACCCACTGGGATTCGAACCCAGGACCTTCCGGTTACAAGGCAAGCTCGTACTGCCAATGATTCCCAAACTAGGATGAAATAGCAGTTGTCGAGTACTCCCTGGTTTTCAATGGTTCTCTAACTGGTATTAATCCGTGGGCAAACTCGTAAAAACATAACCAACCCTTGCAAACCAAACCGTAGAAAAATAATCTGATGCTCGCTAGTGACTTGCTACAGGATGGAGTTTCCTGGAGTTCTAGTGAGAGGTCGTGACCAGTGAGGTCCAATTACATGTCACGTGTGTGGATGGATGTCCCACCAACGACAATGGTTGGTGCCTGTCGCGCTAAATCACGAATTGGTAGAAGTTAGAATTCATGGGTTGGTCATTGAATCGGGTCCCAGTGGCTGAATGGTATACGAGCTTGCCTTGTAACTGGAAGGTCCTGGGTTCGAATCCCAGGGGGTGCGTACTGCCGATGATTCTCAAATTGTTATAATTGTTTATGTATTTATTTATGGTTGTTTGTTCTTTAAATTGTCCTCATTGTTGGAGATAATGAAAGTGCACGTATCGTCCACGTATCTCTTTGTAAAACCCAAATTTGTCAATCATTTTCTTTAGATTCGTGTTTTCTCGTTTTTTAAATGAAAAAAAATCTCCAAGTAATGGGCCCAGTGGTGAGCCCATAGCTCTATCGTATTTTTGTTGATACTGTAAGTATGGTATGTACTTTGCGCCGTCTAAGTGCAAAGTACTGTTACAAGATTGGCAGGAGCCTGTATCTGCATTCACTCTTGCGGATGAACCACTTGAAGTTGTTGATAAATTTGTGTATCTGGGTAGTTGTGTGAGTGCTGTCAGAGGGGTTACAGATGAGATTTCCAGCCGTATAATGTAGGCTAGGGTGGCATACATAAACTTGAGCCACCTCTGGCGCTGTCGCGACGTTAACCTGGTTATCAAAGGTCGGGTATACAATGCTTCGGTGTGGGCTGTCTTGTTCTACGCCTGTGAAACCTGGCCTCTGTGAGTAGGCTGAGGATGTGCGGCAGCTCTGCGTGTTCGATCATCGCTGTCTCCGCACGACTGCTTACGTTCGATAGCATCATTGCGTGAGTAATTCTGAGGTTCGGCGGTGTGTGTTTGAACACAGTGGAGATCACCATTCATTGAGTGTCGTCATCTGGGAACACTGGCTTCGGTGGCTTGGACATGTGCTGCGAATGTCATCCCAGAAGAGGTTTCCGTACAGGTCTCTGTTCGCTAGCCAGCCCTGGGACGGGGTGGAAAGGGCGAAGGGGTGGTCAGTCCATGACGTGGCGTCGTGGGATGAAGGATATTTGCGCTAGGTTAGCATCGGTTGGTGTGTCACAACTTCCTGGTTGGGGTCCGCGAGATAGCTTGAATCGATGGCTCAAAACGTTATCGGATATGGTCAAGAATCTTAATCCGTGGCGAAAGTGTTGCAATTTCCTTCTTTCTTCCCTTCCCTTCCCGATGATAGTTAACAAATACTGTTTGAACTTGTTAAGTATGACTGATTTCCTTCCAGATGAAGTTCTTTATCCGTTCTCTACTTATATATTTTTTTTACTTTTGATCTATGTCGTTTTATTATCATTGTGTGGCACATCTTTCTTGGCGCCATATTGTACTAAGCTTTTTTTTCTGCGATATTGAAAGAGAACTGAACATTTGTAACACATCTCAATTGGAGTTTCTTTAAGTAGTCAGCGGGTATTAACTAGTGTTTATGCCCTTGTGAATGAATATTTTCGCAGATGTAGTATATGGTTTCAGTTAGTGGGACGTTTATAAACAGTGATAATTCATCTAGTGAGAACATTGTTTGATTAGAAACATTGACGTTTACAATCGAGTTGACAAAGTCGAAGGAGCCTCAGAGTGATTGGCAGGGAACTTGCCTTCTGATTGCTTCTAGTAGGTCTATTAGCTGTTCGGAAGTGCGATGATTAGGTGGATTTTTTTGTATCGAGGTTCGGTTGAAGAGGTGTATCCTTTTTTGCACTTTTGGCAATCCATATAGTCGAGGTTTCATAATTTGTGATGTGCCAACCGATGCTAAACTACCGTAATTATCCCTCACCCTATGCTGCCACGTCATAGGCTGACCACCTTTCGGTGTTTTCCATCCCGTCCCACTGCTAGCGAACAAAAACCGTTACAGAAGCTTCCTGGATGACTTTTGTAGTACATATCCAAGCCACTGAAGCCGGTGTTTCCAGGTCACGACAGCACTCAATGAATGGTGATCTTCACTGTTTGCAGACACATGCTGCTGTACCTCATAGTTACTCACACGATGATGCCGTCTAACGCAGGCAATTCTACGGAAACAGCGATGGTAAAACACATAGAGTCGCATCATATCCTTAGCTCAGAGAGGCCAAGTTTTGCAGGCGTCGAGCAAGCCTGAGTGCTCTTAAGCATTGCAAACCCGACCTTTGACAGTCAAGCTAACGTCGTGATGGTGCCAGAGGTGGGTCGACTTGACGTATGTCAGTCTAGCTTTCACGATAAGGGTGGAAATCTCGTCCGTCACACCACTAGCATCCACACAACTACCTAGATACATGAAATTATAGAGAACTTCAAGCGGTTATCTTACAGAGGTGAGTGCAGGTGCAGGCTACTGCTAATTTTACAACAGTACGTCGCATATACCATACCTACAGACACAAGTGTCCGATCAAAATGTTCAATATAGTCTCCTACAGGTGGTCGACCTCTGACTGCAGCACTGGATGATGTGGGTTCAAATCTTAGAAGGGAGATGAATTCTTTTAAGATTGCAGGTAGGCTCTGCCGACTGGTGAACGCTAACAAGCCTGAAACCTAGGTCAAAAGCTTCCTGCCGATTGTCCCCAGTCATCTAATAACCTGCCAATGTATTCGTGGTTGTCGACTGGGTGGATTACAGTAGATTATCAGCTCTCTAGTCATCAATTTGGAGAGTCTTTTTCAATTCCGTCTGCTTTCACAGATCCTTAGTTCTTCTAAACCATGTCCTTTCATTTATTTTACACCCTGAGCAGCCTTTACAGACTTAAACATTGTTCTGATATTCTGTATTCCCATGTTTGATTTTACTTTCATCGGAAGACGTCACATCAGCTTCTTGAAGGCTTTCTCCAGCCGTTATCATACGACCTCAAATTGACCAGCATTCCCCAAGTTCGATAGATGATGATTCTATTTTCCCTGTGATTTGAAGTTTCCGCAGTGAGACAGGATTAATTTCTCGAGATAAGCGTCGCATCACGCTAAACCCCCACGATCAATCTCCCCTCTTTTTCTTCTGGGCTTAGAACTGGCTAGTAAGTTAGTCGAGGTTTTAACTTGTGGGGTATTAGATGATTAGAGGTAATCGGGGCCATAGGAAGCCTTGACCTAGGTTTTGTGTTAATTGTCACTCACCAGTTAGCAAGGCGTATCTGCAACCTCCTTGAAGGAACTCATGTCTGTTAGGAAGAGGCAAAACACATGCAATTATCAAGTTATTATCATGTCGTTGACATGCATCTGTTTCTGCTTTCTGATTGGACGCTTGCACAATTCCAAGCTCTCAACCGGATTGGTTGATTTCCAGTCTACCTTACTTTCTGTATAAATACAGTCACTTTTGTCATAAAAAAGATTCTGGCTTTACCGCTGATTATCGCGTGTTCTGCTTTACCAGTTAAGTGGGCACTGGTCAGTAGTTAAGCAGTTACCTCGTGACAAAGGCCTAGCATCATAACAATGTCCCTTCTGAGATTCGAACCCGCGTCACTCAGTGAGAACTGTAGTCAGAAACGTTACCACTGTTCGTTACCAGCCATTCGGACTTGCGATTCATCTGATGTAGGACTGTATTGATATTTTGATTGGACACTAGTCAGTAACTAGTGTAATGTGTATGTTCACCTAATCCTCTCTTTGGTGTGGACTGAATTCTATGAAAACAAAACACGTAGATCAGCGAAAAGTCTCTTTTCGGCGAATTCATTTTCAATTTATATATGTTATTTTGTATTTATGTGTACATTAAGTTTGTCAAACAAAATTACAATTGGTTGTTATTTTAACTAAACAGGTGAAGATTGGTAATTGGAGTTACCTAATACAAAATCAGTCGAGAAAATTAAGTGTTAATGAGATTAGGGTAGTAACAAAGGTGATGAGTTGTCATAAACAGTTGTTAAAAGAAGTTATGTAACAATAATATGAATAGTTTGATGAGTGAGTTTTACTCAGGATGCACATAGAAACAGCGAAGTAGATAATACGAGATTACGTAAGAGTTCTGAATGAATACAAGAATTATAAGCAATTAAAGAACAGACAAACAAAAAAATTAAGTCATCAAAACCAAAATGATTGAATCAAAACAAAAAACGTAGTTACCATGGCAGCAAAAGTGGTTGAGTAATCTTCTTTTGTATGTACAGCTCCGGTTTTTCTATATGAATGGCCAGAGTTTCAGTGATACAAAGAAGACGAAACCGTAAGCCATTCTTGACTTTGTAGATTCCTTTGAAGCAGGAGGCGTTTGTTGAGATGGAATGATCAGTGTTAACTAGGTGATCATATATCACACTCCTTATTGCACCACTATTGCCTTTTCGCAATCATGCTGACTGGATAGTGTTCTTGAATCCTCTTGGACAGCAACATTAAGAAAAGTGTTCTCCAGTCGCCCACTGATCTGCAGAAGCCTCAACGACAAGATGCTGCATCTGGCCACTTCTATGTGCACATATCAGTTCACCTGCTAGCTGTGGAGTCAGCCAGGTACATCGGTCGTTCGACGCGAACCCTGTCCAAGAGGATTCAAGAACACTATCCAGCATGTTTGCGAAAAGGCAATAGTGGTGCAATAAGGAGTGAGATAATTGATCACCTGGTTAACACCCTGATCATTCCATTTCAACAAACGCCTCCTGCTTCAAAGAAGTCATCGACAGAGTCAAGAATAACCTATCAAAGGAAATACGGTTTCGTCTTCTTTGTATCACTGAAGCTCTGGTCATTCACATAGAAAAACCGGAGCTGTGCATAAAAAAAAGGACTATTCGACCATTTCTTCTGTCATAGTAACAATTTTTTTGATTTTGATGACTTAATTTTTTCGTTTACCTGTTCTTTAATTGCTTAGAATTCTTGTATTCATTTAGATCTCTTACATAATTTCGTATTATCTACTTTGTTTCTATGTGCATCCTGGTAAAACTCACTCATCAAACTATTCATATTATTGTTACATAACTTCTTTTTTAGCAACTGTTTGTGACAACTCATCACCTTCGTTACTATCCTAATATCATTAACACTTAATTTTCTTGACTTGTATTACCAATCTTTACGTGTTTAGTTCAAATAGCCATAACCTATTGTGATTTTGTTTGACAAACTTAGTGTACACATGCATACAAAATAACCCTTATATATGTATTTGCGACTGTACAGCTAAGAAAATGAATTGGCCAGCAAAAAGAGTGTCTTCGCTGAACACTACGTGTTTTGTTTTCATTAATGCCTGGATGGGGATTATCCATGAATTGAATTCTATGAGTCAGGCTTGCGATGTGGCCTCCATGCCAGTAGGTGGCTTGCCATCACGCTGCACTGTAAATTGTTGGTATTGCATGGTTGGAGGCAATCGGTTGTAACTTACTATATATACACACATTAATAGCAATGATCAAATCAATAATCTCTTCAGTATACGGTATGAGTGTGTAAGTTGAGTAAACGAAACATTTAATATATATAAACAGTATGTTTACTTAAAAAAGCAATTCACACTGTGTATGCACTACAACTGGTTTTTCGCTGTACACACTTAAAGTCGAGCAAAATTATTCTGACAATTTGAGATGTTAAGAATTGTTAAAATTAAAAAAAAGCTAGTTATAACGAAGAAAATTTTCTTTCCTCTGAAGTCATCGAGTAGGCGGCGGCTATACAATGGTCTATTCATAGTGAGTAGTAGTCACTTACTACAAGTTGAAAAAAAAACTATTTCCACTAGAGGGTCAAATTAACAAAAAAAGAAAGAGACAAATAGGGATTAAAGACGTAAAACTTACAGAGATAAGCAGGGAGATTGGATAATCAATGAGCTAGCCTTATCACTAACTCTCTCCAGTCTTCATTGGTTTTTACCATCCTGATAACGTCAACCAGCCAATAAGTTTACATCTTCCAACGTGGCTGACTGGCTTGTTTTAACTAACTGTTGTTGATTTCATTGACTAATGAAGTCATGTTTTGGTTTGACCATCACTGGCTATTTCCCAACCTGAGCGGTCCTATGTCAGTTAGCTAACATAGGGCTTCTGCAGCACGTCTCCACCTTGTCCTGTTCTCTGTGGTTCTGTTCTCAGTTGGTCCCATGGTTTCCCATAGTCTCTGATCTCCTCCTCCTCATACGACGTCCTCCATGTCACTCTCAAAGGCCTCACTTGTCGTTTTCCACTCGAATTCCACTCAAGTGGTGACTTTGCGTTCGATCTCATCCTACATTTTCCTGAACAGGTGTCCAACCCATCTCCACTTTCTTCAAAATATATGTTGAATAATGGGGTTCTCGATATGATAAAAAATTTGTAACTCAGGTGGAGGATGATTTTGATGTGGTTGTGTTCTCTGAGCTGGAGAGTTTATTTGCGAAACTTTTATTGCCCCCTACTAGCTAGCCAATATCTTCACAACATACTTCAATTTCATAAATGAGCTTTTAGATTTTTCCACGAGTTTGTTCGCCATCTCTCCTGGCGGATGACCTTGAACTTATTTGGTTGTTTCTGTGTGTTTTCACACCCTCTAAGCCACTTGTATCGGTGCTGAATGTTCCCTTGACTTGAAACTGGACTCTCTGTGTGTGAGATCTCCTTATCGGTTGATAAATTTTAACTATGTCGATGTGTCTATTGATTGATGATTCACTGGAATACCAAGCTTCTAAAAATTCTATAGCATTCTTGTTGTTTCCTCTGTCTAATATTTGAACGCCAGTTGTCCCAGTCGAATTGATGTCCGTCGTTGTCTGTATGGCAGCGATATGAATGAGGGAATGGATGTCATATCTTTTGATGGCTAGTTTATGTTCATGGATACGAAGAGGAAGGCGTCCATTTTTGCCAATGTATTATTTTTCATAATCCTTGCAGTTAATTTTGTAGACGATGTTGGTTTTATCTTCTTTCACTGTTGAGTGTTTTAGTTGACATAGAATTGAGTGAAGTGACTTCGTTGGTTTGTGTACGACGTCAATTCCTAAAGGTTTGAAGAGTCTTGTAGTGATTTCTGAGAAATCCTTTAATATATAGTAAGGCGATTTTCTTTGTGCTTTCCTTGGGGGCTTTTGGTTTGATAGGTTGGCTTCGGGGTTGATGTCTTTTGATGAAATTCCACGGAATAGACAACCACGGACATCAATTCGACAGGGACAACCAGCGTTCAAATATTAGACAGAGGGAACAACAAGAATTTTTAGAAGCCCGCCTGGCATTCCAGTGAATCATCAATCAATAGACACATAGAGATAGACAAAATTTATCATCAACTGATAAGAAAGAAACCTCACACACAAAGGATCAAAGTTGAAGTCAAAGAAACAATCAGTTCCAATACAAGTAACCTAGAAGGTGTGAAAACACACAAAAGCAACTAAACACGTTCGAGGTCACTCACCAGGAGAGATGATTAATAAACTCGTGGAGAAATCTAAAAGCTCACTTCATGAAATTGAAGTGCTCTGTGAAGATGTCGTCTAGTAGGGCGATGAAAGCTTCGCAAATAAACTCTCCAGCTAGCTGCTCAGAGAGCACAACCACATCAAAATAGAATTCTCGCTTGGTTTGTTCCCAGGGTTTTCGTATTGCTAGTTCCTTCTATCCATTTGATCTTCACTGTGAAAGGACAGAAGGCAGGTATTGATAAAAGTCTGCACTGGTCTGTTGGACATATTTTTTCGTGAATAATGGACTAAGTTCGTGATGTAGAGAAGTGATTGACTTAACATTAATGTTAAAAATTCTAATCTTGTTGTTGATTCTTAACTGGTTTCAGAGTGATGATGAATGTGTATTGTGCCTCTTTTGATCCTGACTTTGGCAAACATCGTCATCTTAAAAGCGAATAAAAAACGACCGCTAGATGTTTTTTTTAAATCACTTTGATTTGGCTAGCAAGTACTACTGAATAATACGAGTAGTATATATAATCTTATTTATATGTTCAAATTATTTATTTCTTCATTGTTTTCTTTTTTGTCAATTTCAGCTGTTCATAGAACATTAATCGATTCTTTACGTACTGCATTTGTATGGATATGCAGTTTAATACTCTATTATGCTGTTGGTCCACCGTACGGTGAACCATTCACAGTTGGTTGGGGTCTAATTGAAAGTTAGTTCATCTCTTTTACTGCTTTCTTCTTTTCTGCCATCTCTGTTTACTCACATTTTATGTGTTCTTGGTATTGATTTTTTATATTGTTTCGTTTATCACGTGTATGATCCACTCGATCTACTTGTATCTGTATGTCTCGTTTCTAACTCATTGTTCCATAGAGACGTAGAGGTAGCATGTATCAGTTATAACTGCGTATTAGTCATACTGCTTTAAATCAACTAAATGTGCGCATACACTATTATCACTAGCACTGGATGAAAAACTTCGACGAAAACAGACTAGATTCAGGAGGAACAAGTCATGCATCTCGATCAAATCGCAACACTACAGATCATTATTGAACAGAGCTTGGAATGGAAGTCAGCTGTATATCTCATCCAACTTCATCGACTTTGAAAAGGCCTTCGATAGCGTAGCGTCGATCGAGAGGTGATTTGGAAACTACTTCGCCACTACTAAGGAGTTCCGCCAACAATTATACATCTCATCCAACAGTTGTACTACAATGCTGCATGCCGAGTAATCCACAACGGGTAACTCACGAAATCCTTCGAAGTGAGGATGGGAGTAAGACAAGCTGGCTGGGTGGCTGCCTACTATCTGCAATGATTTTCGTGATTTCGGTAGACTGGATAATGCCACAGACAGCAGACAGGGAAGTGAGGAAACAGGTATAAAATGGACTGCCACAAAAACTTGAAGGATCTGGACTTAGCGGATGATGTATGTCTGATTTCTCACAAACTGGAAGATATGCGAGGGAGAAGCAACAAGATGGCAGAAGAAGCATGCAGTGATAATAAGACTTCCTTCAGGTGAACGTAGAGAAAACAGAGGTAAGTGATGAAGATTCCTGACCAACAGCAACAATAGCAGACAACTGACAACAATCAGCACAACTGGGAGAAACGTGAAAGAAGCAACCGCCTTTGAACGACAGGCAGACGGAACTGATGAAGATACGAAAGCGAGGATCATGGGGAAAGCAGGACAAGCTTTCATCACTCTCAAGTCTGTGTGGAGATCAACAGCACTCAGCATGAAAATGAAAATAAGATCCGTATTTTCAACTCCAATGTGAAGTCAGTGCTACTTGTTATATGGATCAGCACTTCGAACAAACTACACGCCTTCATCAACAGCTGTCTTCGCTTAATACTGCTCAAGCTCAAATGGCCAGAAAAGATCAACAATAGTAGGAGATCTCTGGCAATGGGTGAACCAACCCAGCGGGAGCCGATTGTGCAAGAAATATGCAGGAGGAATAGAGTTAGATTGACTAGGCCATACTCTGAGAAAAAAAACCCATCAAGTGAGTGACATCGCCAGGCGATTGCTCGAGTGGAACCCGAATGGAAAGCGGTGAGTTGATTGTCAGTGTGAGGGTGACATGGAGGAGAATGATGTGAAGCGTGGAGATGAAAGCATGTGGGGATATGCGGAGCCAAGTGAAAACATTGGCAAAGAGGGGGGGGCGAACGCAAAGGAGACGTTCGGCTCAAGGCGTATGCTTCCATAGGAGCTAAAGAAAACAATAATAATAGTAATAATGCCAAGTCACCACCTTTGTTGCCGACCAATGTTAGCTAACATATGATCAATTTGGAAAAGATTTAGAGGTGAATAAATTAAAGCATGCAATCATTCCATAAGGATTTTCACTGCTAGTTTGAGCCAACCATGCTTATACAAAGGTGTAAATTGTTTGATTCGGTTATTCAAATCGCTATAAAGCAATAGTTTGAAACTGTTGTTGATATATATATTTCTATTACTTATATTATTCTTTTTATATCTGCTGATTAGTTGATGGTTTCGCCTTACTCATCATCGGAACATTAGTGCATAATCGTGTCCTAGACATTACTTGTTGCTGCCCAAATCGTCCAGAACCATTAATATTAACACCAAGACAATTGAGAGGTATGAGTGAATCTTCAGAACCCTATTCCCTCGACTATACGGATACAATGGATTCAAGTGATGATATTGATTTAGACGATGAGGATGTCGATGAGGATGATGAAGATCCAATTTATTATTCTAATGATCGTAGTGGTGCTGGATCAATAATGAGCAGTAGTGCTGTGTCTACTCTGCATCGTTCGCATGATCGTGAAGAACAATCACAGCAAACAGCATCATCATCATTATTATTGAAAACATCTATTGTTGGCGGGAAATCAATAAATTATTCTACAATAAACTAATGAGAACCATTATTATTATTATTATTGATTTTTTATTTTATTTTATTATTTATTAACTTTCTAATATAATCTTCACGGTGATCAAGATCAGTTTTACACACCAGAGTTGTTGTTGTTGATATATATATATATATTGATTCTCTCATTGACTTCATTTTTAGTTTGGGGGGGGGGAGTCATGAACAGATCTTCATTATTTCTCACTCTTAGTGTGTGTATTTTGGTTTTATGAGGAGAAGTATCTGTTTATTAATATGTATCTGAGTAGTGTTCAGCCTTCTCCACCCTTTCGCCATTTTTCTGTGCCTTTATTGAATGGTTTTGTTAACTTGATACATGAGAGATTCCATTGTCAACCGTTCCTCTTTTTGTATTCACTCATTCCTAAATTCGTTCATTCATTCATCGTTCTTATGTTGTAATAGTTCCACCCACGCCCCACCCCCCCCACACACAAGCACACAATGTATTCGTGTGTTATTCAACTGGGGATGGGGTGAGTTGACTGTTGGTTAGTTATCGTTTAACCCTAGAAACCGTTTGTTATTCTTCGTAAATAACTTTTAATAGTTTTTTAAAATAATTTTTGTATTTATTATTATTATTATTAACAGCAGCATTGGAGTGACTAATGAAGGTACCTCTAAGCATATGACTCCACTGCACTTCACTCCAGTCCAGTCCACTCCACTCCTCCTTTTTCTTCGATCTGTTTTTACTCTTTAACAAAGAAAATTGAACTGCTAAATTTAAATGACAAGATTACTTGAGGCTTCTTTCACAGTCGCATTTTCTTTTCTCTATTGATTTATTTGTGTGTGTGTGTGTGTGTGATGATGGCGCATAGCATAGTATGTCATAAAAAATCATCAAAACGGTTGAGAGGGTTGCGCGCGGGGAGAGGGGGGGGCTGCATCGCATAATAACTTGATTTGATTTTTTTTTTTTTAATTTGAGATGTTGGCACTACTCGGCTGTTAGGCCTCGCGCAATTACTTACTTACTCAGTCAATCATGTATAACTGCATCAAAGATTCACAACAGTATATCCTAGTAATTAATCGATCTATTAGATATACTAATGGACTTAACCCTAAGTGACTTAAGCGACTCAAGGATTGAATTGCTACCAGGAGGGAATAATCTCGTTGACTTAGAATATGGAGAGGATATATTCCTCCATGCTAGGTGAAGACGCTGACAAAATACAAGCAGAGTCTTCTATTTTTATTTATTTTTTATTTTCGATTACAGCTTGATTCCACACTTTATCTTTGGTACAAGTATGGAATTTTCAGCATGTCATATCGGTAGCCGAAATTTTGCAGGCCGACCATAGATATCAGGTGTGCATCGGCAGGGGATCGAACCTCGGACCATGTGCATGGTCGGCGAGAGTCCTAACCACTATGCCACCGACGCACACCTTGAGCACCTGCAATCTACGAATGTTTGGGCATGCGATTCGCTCCCACCGTGAAATGCAAGATGATGTTACAGGACTGGACTACACCGACTGCTAGATTAGAAATAGGCAGTGAAGTGGTTGGTAGAGCACGTTGACTGCTTCACTTATTTAGGAAGTATCGTCAGCCAGTGTCAACAGGTTGGTCGCTGACGAAATCTCTGCACGGATACAGAGGGCTAGTTTAGCATACGCCTGTCAGTTTACGCCGTCTCTGGATTAGTGGACGTGATATCCGGTTGGCTGTCGACCAAAGGGCGGATGTACTGCTCTGCAGTCCGCTCCGTCCTCCTTTATGACTGTGAGACCTTGCCATTGAGAGTGGAAGACATGAAAGAGAAGGCTAGCTGTGCCTGCACTCTATCTCCCGTGTGGAGTATAATAAGGTGAGAAATATTGAGGTTAAGGGAGGAGGGTAAATCAATTGATGAGGCTGTGAAGTTACATCGACTGAGATGGTTAGGACATGTGTTACGTAGGACTAGTCATCGCCTTCCTCGACAATGGACAATGTTATGTGATATAGGGTCAGGCTGGAAAACAGCTAGCGGAGTTCAAACGAAAACATAGCACCAGTCAATGAAATCCATAACAGTTAGTTTAAGCCACGTACGAAGGTGTAGACTTCCTTGTCGGGGTCTTCCAGACGGTAAACACCAATGGTGGCTGGAGACAATTGGTGATATGGCTCAAAATCGCCCTCAATGGCTGGTGGAGATGCATCCACTCCTTGTGACTTATGATTTCAAATGAAACTATATTGTTCTTCGTTACTACTATTCCTTTGTCTCACACCTCTGTTTACCGTTCCTATTATGCATTTCTTCTCTTGATTTGTGTGCTACATGGAGGGAGTGTAGCGACTTGAACTCCCGCACATCTGTGCAAAGTTCTATGTTGAAAACAAACAGACAGATCAATCTATTGATTGATTGGTTGGTTCATTGAGATGAGAGTAGCTGTATACCAGTAACATGTAGCAGTAGGGCTTGTTAACCAGCCGCCAGCTCTATCCAGATCAAAGGGATCCGAATGCTAGATGATCATTTGCTTGGTGTCAGTCTTGATCCTTTTATATCAATTAATCAATGGTATATTATATTGTACATTTATTCATATGTGGGCTTGCTCTCTTATGGATCACATTTTTTTCGTTTTTCACGAGTGTGACTACGGGTTGATATCAGTAAGAGAACCACTGATGCTCGCTAGTGTATTGCTACAGGACGGAGTTTCTTGGAGTTCTAGCGAGATCCATCGAGTCAAGTGTGAGGATGGATTTTACGCCGATGACATATTGGTTGGTGGTCACGCTAAGATCACTAACTGGTAGAAGTTAGAATTCATAGGTTGGCCATTGAGTCGGGTCCCAGTGGCTGAATGGTATACGAGCTAGTTAACCTTGTAACCGGAAGGGCCTGGGTTCGAACCCCAGTGGGTGCGTACTGCCGATGATTCCCAAAGAACTAGGATGAAACAGCTGTCTGTTTTCAACATAACACTTTGCACCTATGTGCAGCAGTTCGAGTCACCACACTTCCTCCATTTAGCACACAAAGCAGGAGAAGAAAGTAGAACACAAAAAGGAGAGACAGTAAACAGACATATGAGGCAAAAAGAATAGTAATATCGAAGAACGATATGGTTTCTATTGGATATTATAAGTAACAGGGAGTGGATGTATCTGCGCCAGTCATTGAGATCGATGATTTTGAGCTAGCCATATCACCGATTGTCTCCAGTCTTCATTGGTTTTCACCATCCTGATGACGCCAACCAGCTAACTAATGTACCTCTCCCTACGCGATTGGCTAGTTGGCTTAAACTAACTGTTGTGGATTTCATTGACTGATGAAGTCATGTTTTCACTTAACCACAACTAGCTCTTTTCCAACCAGAGCGGCCCTATGTCAATTAACATTATCCGTTGAAGAAGGCGATGACTAGACATGCATGCGTAACACATGTCCTAGCCTTCTCAATTAAGATACTTCACATCCTCGTTCTTGTTAGTGTGTGTGTTTGCTGTAGTTCATATTTTCAAGTCTTAAAGATTCATGATATAATTTGACTATCACTCAAAACTGCCAGTATTTATCATCCGTACTGATACTTGTTGAATTCCAATAATAAAAAAAATTCGCATTAGAAGTAGCCGCTAGGAAATGATCTTCGAGTTCAGGATTGACTCAGAATTCGACAGGATGGGAATTACTGATTCCAAAGTGATTGTTACCTCATAGATAAAATATGTGTAGTAGGCGAACTGATGGCAACTGGTGGGAGTAACTGTGACTCTCTGAACCTAACCAAACGCTTCGTCATCTAATTGACGCGTGTTTTCACCCGTCGTATAGTGGATGGCTTAGCAGGGAGGCCGTGCATGCGGTGCGAGGTGTGAAAACCTTTGACTATCTTGTGCTTTCTAATATTGGCTTCTCTTGCCAATGTCTCCATTCGGCTACTCTGTTCCACCAGTGCTCTGAGTATCAACCTGAAGAAACGCAGCCGAGCATGGGTAATGGCGAGACGAGGTTTAGTTACAGGCGGCACCCCGTGGTGACCTCTGGGTGGGGCTTATCGAGAGGGCAACCCGAGCCTCAGTGAAGACCTGTCACAAGCATGAGACAACACTCACGACCGGTTACTCAGTCTTGATGAAGCAGCGGTGCTGTCCTTAGGTCTTTTATGGCGGTGTACAGGGCATCGGTGGGGTCAAGATCTGGAATTCCTGATGAGAGGACTCAGGCCAATAAAAACTGGCTAGTGGGTAGCTGTTAGGGCTGGTAACCCAACAGCGAGGCGCAGCTTGGTGTAGTTGTTAACCGAAGCCAGTCTGAAGCAGTGTCTTGTGCAGTGGGCTGTGGTTTGTAGGTCGTGATCCGTCTCCATAAGTCAAGGTTGGTTGGCTCCAGTGTGCATATGTCCCTGGTTAGATGTTCCTGTACCTTCCAGCCGGAGGGGTGGCACCAAGATTGTCCTGGGATGCCAACACTAGGGAATGTATGATTCATCCCAGTGGGTCGCTTTGGAACTGTATCAACCACTGGGTGGCTCGCGTGAGTACATTCTTACTCCTCTTTCCGGTGAGTAACGGCATTCAGCGGTTGGCCCAGGTCGCCGCGGGTAAACAAGCATTAAGCCATTTGGTTCTGAATGATTGGTAGATTTAATTAGTCACCGAACACTGAACTTTGCATAGTTCACTAGTTATATCCCCTGAGTAAAAGTTCTGAATTTAGTGGAGACAGATGTTCCCCCTCATCCTTATTGATCTATAGTGAATTATTTTAAGATTATTTATCATCTCCTCATTCAGGATCTTCAGATGAAGTATATAGTATATCAAATAACGTAATCCCGTTAGATGTTTTCCCTCGTCTCCGCGAAATACGCACAGGTAGTTAGTTTGAAAGCCAATTGAAAATGGTTTACAGGATTTCATCACGAGCTGACATTAGTTAGAGAACCATTGGAAAACCCGCTGGAAGTACTGGACAGTTGTTTCGTCCTAGTTTGAGACTCTTCATCAGTACACACCACCAGGTTCTAACCCAGGACCTTCTGGTTACAAGGCTAGCGAGCTCGTAGACCATTAAGCCACTGGGACCTGATCCAGTGACCCATGAATTCTAACCTATGTCAGCTCATGACGAAATCCTGTAACCAATCAACCAAATCTCTACCAACCAAATACTTGAAAGCCAATTGAAAATGTATGCGATGAGTAAATTTTACAACTCAATGACATAATTGAATGGTTAAAATAATAAAAATAGTAAGTAAAATATGATGCATTGTTTACTGAGTGGAAATTCAAGTAGCCCAGTGATTCATTGACTATCTACAAAATGTCATCTGCATTATTATTATTATTATTGTTATTATTCCTTGAGTTCTGAGTGGAACATAGGTTGGCTTCAACAACACATCTCCACTTTGTCCTTTTTCCTGCCGACCTCTTCAGTTGGATCCGCCATTGCTCATATTCTCTTATTTCCTCCATGTTACCCTCAATGGCGCAGATGCATCCACTCCTTGTGACTTATGATTTCCAATGATGTTATAATGTTCTTCGTTATTACTATTCCTTTATCTCACACCTCTGTTTACTGTCTTTATTATACATTTCTTTTTTACTTTCTTCTCTTGCTTTGTGTGCTACAAGGAGGGAGTTTGGGACTTGAACTGCCGCACATCGGTGCAAAGTTCTATGTCGAAAACAGACAGACATGTTACTCTCGTACCAACAGCGTATTTTATCACTTCCCATTTGGATTCCATTCAAGCGATGGCTTGCATTGCGCAGGTTGTTACTCGA